GAGCCCTCTCTCACCAATCATGACGGTTACTCTCAAACGTTAAGCCCGACCTGCTTCTCTTTCTTCTCATTTTCCCTCCCACGTCTCCTTTTTCAGGTTGGTGGTTTGATGCCTGTGGCCCCTCCAATCTAAATGGAATGTTCTACACTGCGGGACAAAATCAAGGGAAACTGAACGGCATAAAGTGGCACTATTTCAAAGGACCTAGTTACTCCTTACGGTCCACAACCATGATGATCCGGCCCTTGGACTTTTGAAAGCGCTATGCCAGTATCAGACATCCGCAAAGGCATCTGGGGGCACTGCCAGATGAGGAGCTCCCTGGAAGCTTCAGAAACAAACAGCCTTGTCTGCTGCCAGCAGCAGGTGGCTTTGTGATGTCACCAAGGTTCTTGACTATGGATGTGGAGCCTTCTGAGTTCAAGACAGTCTCCACTTGGGTCACTGTGTTCTAGTGAGCTGTCCCCAGAGAATGCCACTCACTGCCATACTTTTTAAGGGAGGAAACGCTCAGCTCGCCACACTTGAGAGTGCTACTGGATTGGACTTTGAACCTGGAACACCCTGATGACACATGGGGCTTGTTTTCTGTAAAACCAAATGAAGAATCAACAGCAAAGGACACCCATGCCTAAGAGAGTGAGAACAGGCCTTCCAGAATCTGTTGACGACAGATTGCAGCGGTGGAGTGGTGTCATTCTAGGAAATCCTGCTAATGCATACAGCTGGTGTCACTGCATGAAGGTGACATAAGGAACAGCCTTGTCTTCTGAATTGACTAAGAGTTAGTCGGCTTCAGAAACCCGTTTCAAGCATCATATTTACTAGTTGGTTTTTAGGTTTACTGCGTTCAATAGATTCTGTCCTTGAAAGTCATGATACAACAGAGTACATGGAGGGTAACTGTGAGATAGAAAGGGGTTCAAGGAGACTGAGTTGGGGGGATCCCATTTTCAGAAGAGTTAATATCTAACCAAGAATGGATATAACAGGTAAAAACTAGCCTGATGCTACAGTATTCATTTACATTGAAAACTGATTTGCTGATACACAAATATCTCTAGAGCCTGAGTATATATAACAAGTGGAAACTTTATCATCCAGTTCTGAAAGCGATACGCATGCAGTTAATGGTCTCATTGACAGTGTCTGGGAAAATGTCTGTGGAGTACTTGAGTTGGAGCAGCCTGTTGTACAGATCTTCAAATATGTATTTGCTTCTCTACGGCTTCATTATTTTTTGTTTTTTTACTTTTTATCATATGTTATTTTTTCTGCCCTCTATTTTTTATTTAAATTAGAAACAATCTTGTTTCACATGTCAATCCCAGTTCCCTCTCCCTCCGCTGCCCCTGGCTGACTCCCTACCCATCCCCTTTCTGCTGCCCAGGGAGGGTAAGGCCTTCCATAATGGATCTTCAAAGTCTGTCATATCATTTGGAACAGAGCCTAGACACTCCCCCGTGTGTCTAGGCTGAGAGAGTATCCCTCTATGTGGAGTGGGTTCCCAAAGTCTATGGGTTCCCATGTACTATGGATAAATTCTGATCCACTACCAGAGGCCCCATAGATTGCCCAGGACTCCTAACTGACACCCAGGGGTCTGGGACAGTGCTATGCTGGTTTCCCAGCTATCAGTCTGGGGTCCATGAGCTCCCCTTGTTATTTTTAAAATTTTTGAAGTTTTTTAATTCTTCATCCAGATTTTGTGCTAATTTAATTTTTTGTTAATTAACTCATTTACTTTACAAAAGGCCATCTTGCTCCAGTTCTTTATAAACGCTGTTCCACTCTGAAGTCTAAAAAGAATGGAAGATTTTTATATATTATTGTACATAGCATGTTATACCCACCCGTGTTAAACTCAATACCTGTTTAATCTGGTATACACAATTTGGTCCTCAACTGATGATTATAAATATGAGTGTTCAAAGACATTTACTATACTAGTTGATTAAATGTACAATTCTTCACATTATATTTTTTCTCTTTCTGGCTCTGTTTCTTCAAGATATGTCTATCTTGTAAAATAATATTAGTGGAGAAATTTGGCATAACTCCTTATATATAAGAGATATAAAAAAACACAGTCAGGTGACTAGGAAACTTCTGATTATTCGCTGCTATAAGTGCCTTAGCTAAGATGTCCCTATTGTAGTTTTGGACACATGTTTTTGTGACAACTTGACGTTACTGCAGTATTCTATCAAGAAGTGCTCTTTGTCTATAAATGGCCATGGTTACATTAGAAAAAAATGTAATCAAACATGATTTGCTATGAAATGAGAAAACTAAAATATGTACCCAATTTCACAGAAAAGAAAGGTTTTTTGTGAAATACATATTTCAAAGTATCAGTCTCTATCACTGCACCCACAATGCCTTACTGGCTTTTCTCCATCTGGGAGAAGAAAGCTATTCATGGTTTTAAGAAAAGGGTTTATAGTGTTTACCATCAAGTCTTTCTTATATTTATATGTCTGTATAAAATACCGTTTTGCCTTACAAGTGGTATGTTTAGGAATTACACAGTTTTTCTAACATTAGTGACTCGCTCAGAGCTCTCTTAAGCCTCTCCCTCTAAAATCCTTGTTTTCATTTAGGTGAAGGAAAGGAATATTTTTGTGGTTGTGATTGTCGTTGTTCTTGTTGTGGTTGTTCCCACGGATGTTTTAAAAACCAGTCTTGGATTAGGTATACTGCTTCTCAATCCATATTACAAAAATAAAGTGAAATAATGAGAAAAAAACATGGCATTTACTGTTTTTCTATCTGGGTTTGTGAAATGAGATGTTGTTTCTAATTATTTATAATAAAGCAGTATAAATGTTTAGTGACTCCATTGTGTACATTGTGTAATGCCAACATGTCTGTAGCAATTCGACATGCACAACTTTTGCATTTAATTATTTTGGGATAAATTAATTAGATACTAGAATTGTGTCTTTCAAATTTCTATCTCAATTAAAAGTTGCATGGTTTCTATGAAAATTTCTTCATAACAGTCACAACATTATTTGTTGTAAATAAAATGGAAAATAATGTGTGCAACTTCATCTTGCTTTAATTATATAAATTTTATAAAACTTAACATCACAATCTGTGAAAGAATAGAATCACTGTAGAAATAACCAGATGAACTAAAGCCTCAATATTTGAAAACATTTGATTCCGGGGGGTGGGGGGGATAGGAATGCTTAAACCCATGACAATGGAAGACCAGAGTGTTGGGTCTTCTTCAGCCTACATCCGTACTGCATGGTTTTATGTTTGTCCCAACAATTATCAAATTATGTATTGTCATGCAACAATTATCAATTTGTGGACTCTGGAAAAAGATAAGTCATCTGAGTATGTCTGAGTTTGGCCTAAACAGGAACAGGAAAGAGCATATGAGGAACACAACTCATCCCTATGCCTTACATAGCTTGTATGGACTTACTATTTTATTACTTATCTAAAAGTAATAAATTGTCACCTCTGTTCTTTGTCCTGTCTCCCATCGCCACCACATCCATTCAACCCTTCACTAATTTCAATGGTGAGCACTGGAAAGATAGGTTTTCTTCTGCCTCTCTCTTCCCAGGACAGACTAATGAGAGCTTAGAGACCTCAGAGGACAAGACCAAGCTGAGACCACCCTAGACCGGTTCACTTCCAGCTGACTTGTGGACGGTTATAACTCCATGAGTCATCTCAGCCGAGGTCAGCTGAGCTTGGCTCGGAGCAGCAGAATTCCCTAGATGACATACATCATTTGAGGAAAAAGGATGAGGTGATTATTTTACGATGCATTGGTTTGGAGTGTTTTGTTTAACATCAATTGCTAACGGAGGATA